GCGCGCACACAATGGAAAAGGAAGGACAGGAAGAAAAGGAAGCAGTCTCTTTGGGAAAAGGAGGGAGGAAGAAAGGCAGGGAGGGAAGGAGAGAGGGAGGAAGTCAGTTTACCTCAGAGAACTATAAGCTACTTAAGGGAGCAGAGAGAGAACACAAAGTAGGAATAAATGCTTATTGATGAAAACACAATTCAGGATAATCTCAACTGTAACAAGACTGTTAACACTTTTTTTTTTTTTTGAGTTGGAGTCTCACTCTGTCACCCAGACTGGAGTGCAGTGCTGCTCCCGGCCACCGCAGCTTCTACCTGCTGGGCTCCAGCGATCCTTCCCCCTCAGCCTTCCAAGTAGCTGGAATTACAGGCATGCGCTACCACGCCCGGCTGATTTTTTAATTTATTATAGAGATGAGGTCTCACTGCCCAGGCGGGTGTCAAACCCGCGAACTCAGGCAATTCACTCACCTCAGCCTCCCAAAGGCGTGGGATTACAGGCTGAGCCACCGAGCCTGGCAAGACTATTAACACTTTTTAAAAAAAGTATACAAGCCAGGAACGGTGGCTCACACCTGCAATCCCAGCACTTTGAGAGGTGGAGATGAGACAACTGCCTGAGTTCAGGAGTTTGAGACCAGCCTAGGCAACTTAATGAGACATCATCTCTACAATAAGTCAAAAAATTAGCCAGGCACATGCCTGTGGTTCCCGCTACTTGGAATACTGAGGCAGAAGGATTGCCTGAGCCCAGCAGATCAAGGCTATGGTGGCCATGAGTGTGCCACTGCACTCCAACCTGGGTGACAGAGTGAGACTCCAACTCAAAAAAATAAAATTAAATTAAAATAAAAACATATACAAAGGTGCTAAACTACTTTAGCCACTATGAAAGTCATAAAAATTACTTTAATAAGTGTTCTGATCTACCAAAAAGGTATGCAAAGGTGAAAAAAAGTGTCAAAATACTCACTGATAACAGGCAGATATTTATAGAAGCTGCCCCTACTGGAGGCTTCCAAGTTATTACCTGTATCCGTGTCCACACATCATGCCATTTTGGGGGAAGCACATTTGTGTAACAGAATTGTTCGCTGGTAGTCATATGGCAAACTCGAGATTCCTTAAGCATGATCACATTGACATCAACTTCATCTTTATACAAAGAAAGGAAACAAGAATTAAACATAAGATAATAAAAAAGCTGATAACTAGAACTTATTTCATGAAAAGAATTTTAAAAAATGAAACTGACCACTTTCCTAAACTTGGATTAAAATGTCAGGGGCCGGTGTGGTGGCTCAAGCCTGTAATACCAGCACTTTGGGAGGCTGAGGCAAGAGGATTGCCTGAACCCAGGTGTTTAAGACCAGCCTGGGCAACTTGGTGAGACCTCATCTCTAAACATGTCAAAAAATTAGCGGGGTGTGGTAGCATGTGCCTGTAGTTCCGGCTACTTGGAAGGCTGAGGTGGAAGGATCACCTAAGCCCAGCAGGTCGATGCTGGGGTGGCCATGAACATGCCACTGCACTTCAGCCTGGGCGACAAGAGTGATACTCTGACTCAAAAAAATAAATAAATAAGTCAGTCAGACTGAAAAAAAAAAAAACAACTGAGATCAGGGAAGAAATAAGGCAGAGTCTTATTTCTGACAGGTTTTTGTTTTGTTTTGTTTTTTAGTTGGAGTCTCACTCTGTCACCCAGGCTAGAGGGCAGTAGCACGCTCCCAGTCACCACAGTCTCGACCTGCTGGGCTTCAGCGATCCTTCCGTCTCAGCCTTCCAAGTAGCTGGAACTACAGGCACGTGCTACCACACCCCGCCAATTTTTTTGATTTATTGTAGAGACAGGTCTCACCAAGTTGCCCGGGTGGGTCTCAAACCTGTGGGCTCAGGCAATTCTCTCGCCTCGGCCTCCCAAAGTGCTGGCTGGTGTTACAGGCTGAGCCACTAAACCCGGCCTATTTCTGTCAAATTTAATAATTTTAATATTATAGTCATTCACTCAGATTAAGTGGTAAGTAAAGCTATTATTAAGTGTGTATTAAGACAGACAGTATGCTGCCATGTGTGGTGGCTCACGCCTATAATCCCAACATTTTGGGAGGCAGAACCGAGAGAATTATCTGAATCTAGGGGTTCAAGATCAGCCTGGGCAATTTGGCAAGACCTCATCTCTACAATAAACAAAAAAACGAGCTGGGTGTGGTGGCACGTGCCTGTGGTTCCAGCTACTTGGAAGGCTGAGGCGGAAGGATCACCTGAGCCCATCAGGTAAAGGCTGTGGTGGCCGGGAGTGTGCCACTGCACTCCAGTCTGGGTGATGGAGTGAGACACCAACTCAAAAAAAAAAAAAAAAAAAGAAATTAAAGATTAAAAACGATGCTCCTATATTTTCCCACCCAAGTTTGCCCAAGCTACTTTCTTTATCACACTTGAATAGCTTCTGAGTTCTATAGTGTGCTTTCCAACTGAGTACTTTTCTAAGTGGAAATTTAGTTATCACTTTGGTTCTTAGTATAAAGGAGGCTGGATTTAAATAAACTAAAAAAAAAACTCAATCAAGCCTTAGAAAGCCAAAGATACATACACAAAAAAGGCACTGATGCCCACCAGTCCAAAATGGCTTTAGGCTGAGGCTAAGACAAATTCTGAAGTTAAATTCAGTTCTAAATGTAAATGCAAAAACATTTAAAACTTAGAAGAAAACATAGGCATAAATCTTCGTTATCTTAGATTAAGCAATGATTTCTTAAATATGACAATAAAGCATAAGCAACCAAACAGAAAAATAGGTAAACTAGACTTCATAAAAATTAAAAACTTTTGTGGGCTGGACATGGTGGCTCAAGCCTACAATCCCAGCACTTTGGGAGGACGAGGTGAGAAGATTGCCTGAGCCCATAGGTTTGAGACCAGCATGGGCAACTTGGCGAGACCTCATTTCTAAAAAAACAACAACAACAAAAAAAAACACAAAAAACTTTTGTGCTTCAAAGGACATTATTATCAAGAAATGAAGAAAACCCACAGAACGTCTGCAAACTCCACATATATCTGATAATGGCCTAATGTCTGGAATACATAAAGAATTATACATAATAAAATGATAGCCCAGTTTTATAAATGGGCAAAGGATGTGAATAGGTATTTCTCCAGAGAAGACACACAAATAGCCAACAAGCACATGAAAAAGGCTCAGCATAATTAGTCTTTAGGAAAATGTAAATCAAAACCACAATGAAATACTGCTTCATACCCACTAGAATGTTCAAAATAAAACAGAGGACAATATCAAGTGTTTGTGTAGATATGGAGAAACTGGAATGCTCACATATTGCTAGGAGAAAGGTAAAATGGTATAGCCTCTTTGGAAAAGTTTGGCAGTTCCTCAAAAAGATAAAGTTACAAGGAATTCCTAAGGCTCCTGAAGTCACTCCTAGAGTTACTCAGGCATTCCACTCCTGGGTAAATGCCCAAGAGCACTGAAAACATGTTCACACAAAAACTTGTACATAGATGTTCACAGCAACATTATCCATAATAACCAACGGGGACAACCAACGAGTGTACAAATACAACGTGGTATATTCATACAATGAAAAGGAATGAAGTCATAAAAAGGAATGAAATACTGATACAAGCTACAACATGGATAAACCCTAAAAACATTATGTTAAAGCCGGGTTCGGTGGCTCAACCTGTAATCCCACGCCTTTGGGAGGCTGAGGTGAGTGGATTGCCTGATGGCGCGGGTTCGAGACCCGCCTGGGCAGCGAGACCTCATCTCTACAATAAATCAAAAAATCAGCTGGGCGTGGTGCGCATGCCTGTAATTCCGGCTACTTGGAAGGCTGAGGCGGAAGAATTGCCAAAGCCCAGTAGGTAGAGGCTGCGGTGGCCGGGAGCAGCCACTGCACTCCAGTCTGGGTGACAGAGTGAGACTCCAACTCAAATAAAAAAAAAAAAAATTATGCTGAGTACAAAACAAACAAAAATTGGCCTCATATTGTATGATTTCATTTATATGACATATTCAGAAAAGGCAAATCCAGAGACAGAAAGTACACTAATAGTTGCCAGAGGCTGGGAGATAGGGAGTGACTGCTGAAGTGTATGGAGTGATTAAAGTGTTCTGGAATTAGGCAGTGGTGATGTTTGTACAACCTTGTGAATATAATAAAAACCACTGAAAGGTGAATTTTATGGTAGGGAATTATATCTTAGTTTTTTAAAAATTAGGTCTTAATACACCATCAGTTTCTTACTAAGGTCTAATCCAACACAATTTGGATTTCTTCCAAGCCTATGTTTCTTAAAATGAAAACTTTAAAAAACACTTGTTGACATTCACCTCACTAACAGGCCCACAAATATACTGAAAGAATATCCTTTCACAAATAAGGAGCAAGAGTTTACTTCTTTCTAGATAGTGAATAGTAAGGTTATGAGAAACTTAAAAAATACTCTACTCATAAAACATAAATTCGGCCGGGCTCAGTGGCTCAGCCTGTAATCCCAGCACTTTGGGAGGCCGAGGTGAGTGGATTGCCTGAGACCGCGGGTTCGAGACCCACCTGGGCAACTTGGCGAGACCTCATCTCTACAATAAATCAAAAAAATTAGCCGGGTGTGGTAGCACGCGCCTGTAGTTCCAGCTACTCGGAAGGCTGAGCCGGAAGGATCGCCGGAGCCCAGCAGGTCGAGGCTGCAGTGGCTGGGAGCGGCCACTGCACTCCAGTCTGGGCGACAGAGTGAGACTCCGACTCAAAAAAAAAAAAAACATAAATTCACTGAGGCTTGCAGAATCATTGGGAAGTTTTTTTTTTTTTTTGAGTTGGTCTCACTCACGCCTGGAACTACAGGAGTGGTAGCACATGCCTGTAGTTCCAGCTACTTGGAAGGAGTTCCAGCTACTTGGAAGGCTGAGGCAGAAGGATCGCCAGAGCCCAACTGCGCTCCAGTCTGGGCAACGGAGTGACACTCCAACTCAAAAGAAAAAACAAAAACAAAAACTTAACGCTGGCTGGGCTTGGTGGCTCAGCCTGTAATCCCAACACTGAAATCCCAAAACAAATGAACTGCCTAAGCCCGAGGCAACTTGGTAAACCCTGTCTCTACAATAAATGAAAAAAAAAAAAAAAATTAGCCGGGCTTGGTGGCCTGAGCCTGTAGTTCCAGCTACCTGAAAGGCTGAAGCGGAAGGATCGTTGGAGCCCAGCAGGTCGATGCTGGGGTAGTCATGAGTGTGCCACTGCACTCCAGCCTGAATGACAGTCTCCAACTCAAAAAAAAAAAAGAAAAAAAGAAAAACTTAATGCCAATAAAAGGCATCATTATTTTTAATTTAGCTTTCAAATTCTACCAAGCCATACTCCTAAAGAAATAAAACTGATTTAGAAGAAGAAATGTCGAAATTAACATATCCAGTTCTTTCTTTTTCTGTGTTCCACACCATTCAAAGATTTTAAGTAAATAAATAAATAAGCCTGTTGAACGGTAACTGCCTCCAGAAATCAGCACCTTGGCCAGCCACATCTTATACCAGTTCAGCCTAAGGAGGATAATCTGTGGAAATGATCACCAGCTGCAGCTTAAATTTTTAGAAACATAAAACTAAATCAAACGACCTTAAACATACACAAGCTGTCCAAATGCTCATGTTGGTACCTTGTGCTTCCCATAGCAAAACGACATATCTCATCTTTCTTCCCCTCCCCAAAGGGAGTTAGCCAGCATGTTAAAAAGCAGAATAAATTAAATATTCAGGAAAATGGCTTCTAAAACTTTTTAAAATTTGGTGAATCACAACTTTTTTTTTTTGAGTTGGAGTCTCACTATCACCCAGACTGGAGTGCAGTGGCCACTCCCGGCCACCGCAGCCTCGACCTGCTGGGCTCCGGCGATCCTTCCGCCTCAGCCTTCCGAGTAGCCAGAACTACAGGCATGTGCTACCATGCCCGGCTAATTTTTTGATTTATTGTAGAGATGAGGTCTTGCCTGCCCAGGCGGGTCTCTAACCCGCAGGCTCAGGCAATCCACTCACCTTAGCCTCCCGCGCGGGATTACAGGCTGAGCCACCGAGCCCGGCTGAATCACAACTTTTTATTGTATTTACCTATAAAGCAGCCATTCAACGGTGAATAACTTCACATAATCAGCACAAACATAACTTTTCACCTACTTTTCAATCAACAATACTGATCATTAAATAAATACAGGTAGACAGTAACTAAAATGATTCATTGGATGTGAACACTAGAAGGGATCCTAAAAAGTCATGAAAAACCTCTTCTAATTCTTAAATAGCCTCTATTCATTTCTGTCAAGAGGTAATCCTGCGCTTTGGGAGGCTGAGGTAAGCAGATTGCCTGAGCCCGCAGGTTCGAGACCTGCCTACAATAAATAAAAAAATTAGCCGGGTGTGGTAGCGCCTGCCTGTAGTTCCAGCTACTCAGAAGGCTGAGGCGGAAGGATCACCGGAGCCCAGCAGGTCACTGCTGCGGTGGCCGGGAGCGGCCACAGCACTCCAGTCTGGGCAAGAGTGAGACTCCAACTCAAAAAAAAAAAAGTAAAGTAAAATTTGCCACTGCTCTCCAGCCTGGGCGACAGAGTGAGACCCTTGACTTAAAAAAAAAAAAGAAGAAAGAAAGAAAGAAAAGTAAAAAATTTTTAAACTGGCACACCTTTCAAGAAAGCAATACGTTTTATAGATCTTAAATATATTTAAGTTTGTAATCAAATTAATCCATTTCTGAGAATCTATCTTTAAAAAATTACTCAAGCCAGGCTCGGTGGCTCAGCCTGTAATCCCGTGCCTTTGGGAGGGTGAGGTGAGTGGATTGCCTGAGCCTGCGGGTTCGAGACCCGCCTGGGCAGCGAGACCTCATCTCTACTAGAAATCAAAAAATCAGCCGGGCGTGGTAGCGCGCGCCTGTAATTCCGGCTACTCGGAAGGCTGAGGCGGAAGGATCGCCCGAGCCCAGCAGGTCGAGACTGCGGTGGCCGGGAGCGGCCACTGCACTCCAGTCTGGGCGACAGAGTGAGACTCCAACTCAAAAAAAATAAAAGATAAATAAAATAAAAAATTATTCAAATGCAATAAAAAATATATACACAAAAAGATGTTCACAAACTTACAATGAAAAACTAGAACATCCACAGACATCCAAACAAATGTTTAATCCAGAAACAGTAATGGTCTGTTAAATCAGCAAGGGTGCAATACAAGTAAAATGACATTTATAAAGAATCTTAAATGATTTAGGAGAATGATTGTGCTAAAAAATCAAATGTAAATGAGAAAACTATCTCTGGTAACAACTGATGGCCTCCAGGAAAGAGAACTAGATTACTGACTGGATACAAATGTATTATCAATTCAAAATAATTTTTTAATTAAAAATATGTGGAAAAGGCCAGAAGAAAGTGTTGTGAAATTGCCCGGCTCGGTGGCTCAGCCTGTAATCCCGTGCTTTGGGAGCCCGCGGGTTCGAGACCCGCCCGGGCAACTTGGAGAGACCTCATCTCTACAATAAATCAAAAAATTAGCAGGCCGGGTAGCACGCGCCTGTAGTTCCAGCTACTTGGAAGGCTGAGGCAGAAGGATCGCCGGAGCCCAGCAGGTCCGGGATCCGCCACTGCACTCCAGTCTGGGTCACAGACTGAGACTCCAACGCAGGAAGGAGAAAAAAAAATTGACGCCCTCTAAATGGAATAAACAGCAAGGTTTCTGCCTACTTTTTTAAGTACTTAATTGTACTTGCCAAATAGTCAAATAAACATGCATTACTTTTATAATCAAATTTTTCAAAAACTCCCAATAAGAAGAAATTCTCTACCTTCTAAAACTCCACTCTACCTTTGGGTACCTCTGATTTTCAGAAAGTTCTCTGTTACATGATTATTCTTTGTAGATGCCACCCACATAATCTATCAGGTGTTCAAATATCAACCGGAGTTTACCCTTCTCTGAAGCCAATAAGTCCGTTTCTCTCTTCATTAAATAAACTTAAGAGAAAGATACTGCCAACTGAGTGCTTATTATTCAGGAGCTTGTTTGCATACTGTTTCTCATTTCATGCCCACAACTCACTAACCCATTTTTTTTAAAGAGGTTCATTCAGATAATAAATGCCAGCCGGGCTCGGTGGCTCAGCCTGTAATCCCGCGCCTTTGGGAGGCTGAGGTGAGTGGATTGTCTGAGCCCGGGGTTCGAGACCCGCCTGGGCAGCGAGACCTCATCTCTACAATAAATCGGAGAATCAGCTGGGCGTGGTAGCGCATGCCTGTAATTCCAGCTACTTGGAAGGATGAGGCGGGAAGGATCGCCGGAGCCCAGCAGGTCGAGGCTGCGGTGGCCGGGAGCGGCCACTGCACTCCAGTCTGGGCGACAGAGTGAGACTCCAGCTCAAAAAAAAGAAAAGAAAAGAAATGCCCCCCTTCGATTGTTATCGTGGACCCTCTGGAAAGTACCTTCCCGAATACCTACACCCCTCTCCCTTCAAAAAAAAAGTTTTCAGAAGGATGCTGTGCTTTGAAACTAGATCTACTGATGCTGAGACCATCCTAAAGCTGTAGGTAAAGATAATCACAAGTGACCGCATGAAATAGGCAGGAACAGAAGGGAGAGGTGAGACAGCAAAAAATGTGTTTACCAGATAACATATCTTTATTCTCTTGAGTTTCAACTCCCTCCAGTGGAAGCTTGAAAACCTCACTTATTTTTCTGTTGTGAATTTAACGACAATGGAGTAGAAGGTTTTTAATAAACACACTGGCGCAGAAAAGGAAAAGGGCTTCCTTTCCAGCTCAAAGCTGATTACCCAGCAGCCGGTATCAAACAAGTTTGAAGTTATGAATAAATTTCCAAAAGAAACCTATTCGATGCTGAAAGGCACTCGTATCATTTTTGGAAACTGGAATATGACGACTCTTGGTCCGTTCTACATAAGGATGTTACGGGCCAAGGTCTTAGAAGAGCAAAAGACATTCGAGATCACCGCATTTCTAGGATATACAGATCTGTTCAGCCACCCGTGCCCCGCGTCCTGACAGAGCACACGCTCTGGTGTTTGCTAATTTGCAGAATGAATGGGACGTCCCTTTTCCGTGGCAGCTCCGCCCGCCCGGAACAGTCCCCGTCTTCTTCCTTTTAACCAGGAAGCTCGCAGAAGCCTCTGCAGGACGGCTCAGCCCCAAGACGGCTTCTCCCCAGTCTAGGCCTCCCTTCCTGCCTCCGCCAAAAAGCTCCCGGCTCCTTCCTACTCTAGAGAGCTCCCTCAGCCCGTCCCAGGGGCCCGTCCCCCCAGTCCCGATGCCCACCAGCCGACGAAACGTGTTCCTCCACACCACGCCGCGCCCCTCGGTCGAGCCACCGCCCTTTTGCAGAGTAACGGCCCGCGCTCTCGGGACAATCCCCACTTTTCCAAAAATAACCCCTCGGCACCCGCCCCCTCGGCAGCTGCTGCCCGGGCGGTACCTGAGCCACAGACCAAGCAGCCGGAGAAGACCAAGAGCAGCAGCACTGTCCCACTGACCCCGGCCCCCCAGCCCCAGGACGCGGGACCAACTGCCGGCGAGACCGCCACTTTCATTCCTCCCGCCATGCTTGCCTCACGCCATCTCCTTCTCACGTGCCTCTCCCCAGCAACTAACCCCGAACAGGCAGCGCCAGCAGCCTATCCGCTACGAGATCCTCCCCTACCAACCAATCAGATGTGCGGAGTTTCGAGCATTCAGTCCCCCCTCCCCTCCCAAGGCCCCAGGAGTCCCGCCCCTTGGCAACTGAGAGAGAGGGCGGGAAAAACGGCTTTCCGCCTATTAGAAAACGGGTGCTCGCCCTAGGAATGGCGACAGGAAGAGCCCACCCCTTGACAACATGCTTCCGTCTCCAGTTTATTTACAACTGGTGTGACTGATGGTAAGCTTAGCCAATAGAAAATCAGAATGGGTGAGGCCTTCTGGACCAAACTTGGTATTTCCATCAAAATTGCCTTAAGTTCCTTCGGTTTTTTTTCTTTCCTTTTTGCCATGATTCTTCTGTTCTGAGAAGTCTATAATTGACATCTCTTTATGAATAGGGTCCTCACAGAACAATTTTTAAAAGACGATTGACAAAGTACGGTCCTCCAAAGTCCCTAAAAAATTTGAAACAGAAACCACAAAATATTGTCTTGTCAGTGTTTTATAGGCATGAACATTAGCGTTTAAAAATGTAGTCAAAGAGATTTTTATTTTTGGAAGCAAAATGAATGTGAGGATTAAGAGAAGATTTATTCCTCACGTCAGCTTGTGAGGCAAATATAATGATCTCCATTGAAAAAGCCAAGGCTAAGACAGCCAAAGGAAACTGCCCAAGATTTCATGGTTCACCTGGGCTGCGATCCCAACCTAAATCCCACTGACCCCAAAGCCAGAGTTATTTCTATGCATTGACTGCTTCTCATTAAATGAATTAACACAGTGAGGGCCTAGCAAAATGCCAGGTGTTCAAAAACTGTTAGTAGAAATTGAAGCATCTTTTTTTAGAGGAGCTGACAGTGATGGGTAGGTAGACTAGAGACAATGGAGCTAAGTGAGTTAAGAAGAAAATCAAGGGTAACTTATGGGGAAGATTCAGGCTTTCAAAACAAAGAATTTTTTAAAAGTCAAAATGAGGCTTAGCTGTGGGTAAGAGAATAAATTTAATCCTCAAAAAGAAAAGTCTAGGTCATCGTGCTGCCATGGTTATCCGGTGTCTCTCACACACTCCTTGGGCTGAGAGGTCAGCATCAGTAGTAATAAATCATGTTGATACTATATACCCTTGGTAACATGATAAAAATTACATTTTATCTCTGTGGTTTTCCTTCCCAAAACCCATTACACCAGTCTAATCATGAGAAAAACATTAGCCAAATTCCAATAGAGGGTCATCCTACAAAATATCTGACCAGTATACCTCAAAACTGTTAAGGTTATCAAAAACAAGGAAAGTCTGAGAAACTGCCACAGGCAAAAGGAGACATGAGAACTAAATGTAATGCAGTACTGTGGATGGGATCCTGGAACAGAAAAAAAAATTAGGTTTAAAAAAAAAAAAAACCTGGCCAGGTTCGGTGGCTCAGCCTGTAATCCCAGCACTTTGGGAGGCTGAGGAGTGATTGCCTGAGTTCGCGGGTTCGAGACCCACCCAGACAACTTGGCGAGACCTCATCTCTACAATAAATCAAAAATTAGCCGGGCGTGATGGCATGTGCCTGTAGTTCTGACTACTTGGAAGGCTGAGGTGGAAGGATCGCCAGAGCCCGACAGGTCGAGGCTGTGGTGGCCGGGAGCATGCCACTGCACTCCAACGTGGGTGACAGAGTGAGACTCTGACTCAATAAAGTCTATTAAAATATATGTATATATTTATGTATATGTTATTACGTATATTATTTGTGTGCATATATATATATATATACACACACATACTTCATTTTTTCTACTAGGCCTCATTCTCACCATTCAGAGCTTGCTCTTTGGTCTTGACTAAAAGTAAAACCAGGGGAACAAGGCCATGCTCGGTGGTTCAGTCTGTAATCCCAGCACTTTGGGAGGCCAAGGCGAGTGGATTGCCTGAGCCTGAGGGTTTGAGACCAGCCCGGGCAACTTGGTGAGACCTCGTATCTACAATAAATCAAAAATTAGCTGAGCGCAGCGCATGCCTGTAGTTCCGGCTACTTGGAAGGCTGAAGCAGAACGATCGCTGGAGCCCAGCAGGTCGACACTGGGGTGACCGTGGGCATGCCACTGCACCCCAACCTGGGTGATGGAGTGAGACTCCAACTCAAAAAAAATCAGGGAAACTAATTTCAGGTTTGGGAACTAATTCTATAAGATCACTGACCACTGACTATTAAAATGTGTAAACAAGAAAAACAGTAATGAGACTGGTTGTCCTTAAACACATCACAACTTATCCAAATGAGTACTGTCACTTAAGCTTTTAGCCTCATTTTAATGAGGACACTGCTCAAAACGCTGAGACTCTCCTTCAGAGTCTGTGGCACACCATGTAATGAATATTCATTATCTGCAGGTGGATCTGATTTATGCAAATAGCCAAAGAACTCAGGCCAAGCCGATGAGTAAATGGGGCGGGAAATCTGGATGGTAAATGTGTTTCAACATTTTTTGGATTTTCAAAAGATAGTGTGGGGCATATACAAAATATAAGACAACAATACGAATGGCATCTGGACAGCACCCAGGAATCAAACAAATTAATATTCCTGTAATGACATATATGAATATTCATACTGTGATAACTGAGAGCTAAAATAAAACTAGAAATAACCTCATGTAAGTTTAGGTCAGGTTCTGCCACAAAATAAATTCAGGTCAGATTAGGTTTTTTTTGTTTTTTTTTCCTTGTAGATATTTGACTATTTCCATTATATGATTATTATGAGTAGCAGATTAGGTTTTATTGCCAAATAATTTATGAAAACTCTGGGTTTTCCTAATTTGTTGAATTTAGGAATTGTGGATGAAGGACTGCAGACTGTGAATATTTGCTGAAAGCGATTCCAGAGTTCTAAGAAGGAGTACTCCATTTCATTTATTCAGTCACTCAAATAGAAGCCTACTCTGAGTCACTTGTTCTCGACCTCCTAACCCCTTAGGCAATCAATCAAGTCCTATTGATCTTACTTCTTTTTTTTTTTTTTTTTTTTGAGTTGGAGTCTCACTCTGTTGTCCAGGTGGGAGTGCAGTGGCACAATCACGGGTCACCACAGCCTCGACCTCCTGGGTTCGGGTGATCCTTCCACCTTAGCCTCCTGAGTAGCTGGGACTACCGGTGTGCACCACCATAACTGGCTATTTATTTATTTGTTTATTTATTTATTTATGGAAGAGACAAGATCTCACTGTTTCCAGGGGTCAAACAATCCTCCTGCCTCAGTCTCCCAAAGTGCTGGGATTACAGGTGTGAGCCACCTCACCTGGCCCTATCATCTTTCTACTGCATCCCATGCCGCTGACTTTCTCCAGCGTCTTGCCATTTCTCCCTTCGAGCAAGGTTCTTCCGTTTCCTTCAAGCTGAACTCCCTGCTGCCTTTGTGGTCCTAAGTCCTTCCTCCACTCTGCTCTTAAGTGCAGTGACCGTGCCACTCCATGTTAGAGTCTTCACGGTTCCACAGTAACCCCACAGAATGAAGTCCAAGGTCCTTAGTAAAGAAACAAATAACTAGAATAATGTTATTCAAAGTGTGTTACCAATCTGCAATGAAACAATTTCAGAAAGTAAATGTAAGCATTTGGAAAGTTGTATAGTAATTGACAGAGAAATTGTACATTTACTTAATCTAATAAAATAGGGGTTTATTTCAGTTTTTCAACAATGCACTTTTTTTTTTTTTGAGTTGAAATCTCACTCTGTCACCCAGACTGGAGTGCAGTGGCCGCTCCCGGCCACCGCAGCCTTGACCTGCTGGGTTCCAGCGATCTTTCCACCTCAGCCTTCCAAGTAGCTGGAAATATAGGCGCGCACTACCACACCCAGCTAATTTTTTGATTTATTGTAGAGATGAGGTCTCACCAAGTTGCCCAGGTGGGTCTTGAACCCACGGGCCTAGGCAATCCACTCACCTCAGCCTCCCAAGGCGCGGGATTACAGGCTGAGCCACTGAGCCCGGCTGAACAATGCACTTTTAAAAAAAATTTTTTTGAGTTGGAGTCTCACTCTGTTGCCCAGACTGGAGTGCAGTGGCACGCTCCCGGCCACCGCAGCCTTGACTTGCTGGGCTCCGGCGATCCTTCCACTTCAGCCTTCCAAGTAGCCGGAACTACAGGCATGCGTTACCACACCGGCTAATTTTCAAAATTTATTTTAGAGACAAGGTCTCGCCAAGTTGCCCAGGCAGGTCTCGAATCCATGGTCTTAGGCAATCCACTCGCCTCAGTCTCCCAAAGCCCTGGGATTACAGGCTGAGCCACCAAGCCCAGCCTGAACAATTCACTTTAAAGGTATTTTATAAAAGTAGTGGACAATAATAGATTGGAAATGTTTTTTAAATTGGTCCTTAAGCACAGTTTGAGCTGCGCTGGTCTATAATACCTTTAACGTAGTGGTCTCGAACACCTCCCCAGGATAACTCTAACCACCTCCACCCACTACCTGGCAATGATGTCTAGTTTCTCAGGATATATCCTTCTGCTTCATACCGCCATGCAAGTGCACACTCCTGCTTCTCTGACTTGACTTCCCTTCTTCCTGGAAATCTTCTATTCATACTTCAAAATCCTGGACTGTATCATCACTTCCTTTCGATGCCAGTCTAAACCAGCCTCCCACAGTCCCAGGCAGAAGAGATCCCTTGCACTCATGTGCTTCTGTCAGTTTGTATCCCTGATATCACACTGTGTTGTTATTTATTTATTTATTTTTGAATTGAAGTCTCACTCTGTCACCCAGACTGAAATGCAGTGGCATGCTCCCGTCCACCACAGCCTCAACCTGCTGGGCTCTGGCGATCCTTCTGCCGCAGCCTTCCAAGTAGGAACCACAGGCGCGCGCTACCACGCCCAGTTAATTTTTTGATTTATTGCAGAGATGAGGGCTCGCCAAGTTGCCCAGGCGGGTCTCAAACCTGCGGGCTCAGGCAATCCATTCACCTCGG